AGCAGCAAACTTTAAGTTGAAGATAGAATTGTTCAAGATTTTTAAAACTTTCACGCATATATTATTTTTAATGCAGACTATGTAATATAGGAACACTTTGAAATAAACTCCGCAAATTAAAACGATTGCAATTTTATTTAGAAACGAGAATATCGAACCTTCTCTCGAGTTAGAACAAATCAGAATTACAGCAGAAAACTTTAGTTTTTTAATTAATAAAACTTGCATGCACATATTTTTATTATTGTAGACGATGAAACAAATTTCAAAATTAAAAAGTAATTGCAACTTTATTTAGAAGAGAGAATATAATTTTTAATAATTTTTAAAAATTAATCTAATTGCAAAAGGGCCTAAATAATTATAATTAATTTCAGTTTTGAAGTCGAACTTTTTGTGTTTGTTTCTTTAATATATTCGCCGCTATAATCACTTATTTTTAGCTAATTTTTGTATATAATTTTATATAAATATATATTATTTAAACCAATGATAAGATTAATTCTAAAAATGTTTGGTTTGGTGGGTTTAAATGAGTGATGCCTTTTCCCACAACAATTCCCATTAATCATAAATATTTGGGTGGCAGTCTAAATATCGCTCACCCTGTAGCCCATCTAAGCAACTCCTTGCTTTTAGCTGATACTTGAAGCAGGATTGCAGCTCATACTAATACAAACTTTACATTGGCTTGACTTTGGTCGTCCATTGACCATCGTTGTAACCTTATTGGCTTAGATATTCCATTAGCCACATCGATTACTCAGACATGCATCGATTTTTTTCACAAGTGACTGGCAATTTCAATGCATAAACGATTAACGTGTGTAGAAATGTGGACGCCTAATGAGCGACTCGCCACTGGGGACTACGGACTGCGGACTGCACACTTCGGTGTGCAGAAGTTTGCATTTGATTGCTGTCAATAGATTAATGACATTAGCACGTCTAAGCCGTAGTAAATGGTTTGTTGTAAGATGCTTATACAGGATGGAACTTAATTTTATTTACAGCACAACTGCATGGCTAAAACAGCGCTAGCTGGAGCAGTTATTTGTAAATCAGCAGCAGGACACTTGTAAGCAATTGTTATGGGGAACATAACAAAGAGATTAAATCTCCCTATAAGTATTGATAATTAAGTCTAGTGTGTGACAAAGCTAAACACATGGAGAGCTACATACATTGAACCGTCGAAAAACATTACCCATAAAAAAGAATGTTTGTATACGCCCATATTTTTAAGAAATTCAGTTGTGGATTAAACTAAGAACTAATTGAATTAATTGACTAATTAAACGCCAAATCTAGAAATTGATTATAGAATAGTTTCTGAAACACCAACGTTTTCAAAAGACATTAGCTTTGTGGTAAAATGTATGATATTCCGGTGCATATATAAAGAATATACTACATATATATGTTGAAGAATATGCTCTAGAATACCAAAAAGAAAAAGCTAAAGTAAAAGTAATAGAAACGCCAAATAGACTAAAAAGTTCAATGAAAATAAGAAAAAGAAAAAGCTAAAGTAAAAGAAATGCCAAGTAGACTAGAAAGTTCGATGCATTTTATTAAATCTACATTCTTTCAAATTATTACTGTGCCCTTCTCAGAAAATGTTAGAGAATATTGTTCCTAATGGGAATATTTGTAAGAATCATAAGGTAGACTGATAGACCAAATGTTATAGGTGCATGCTATATGTTCGTTTATCGCTTTCAATTAATACTGCTTCTACAGTTTCGGAGTATTATCTTTAATGATTACTTTGTACCATGCTTTGTTTTTAGATAAATGGAAGACCAAATTCAAAATAAGCTGTTTTCGATTGCAAATTGTAGAGCACGATACATAGCTGAAGAAGAATAAGACTGCATCTATATAAGTATATACAATTATATATATAACAATTAAGACTTAACACCTAGTTTAAGTTGAATTTGTATTTAACTATAAATTTAATTTCAGTTATAAATATAACAGTATATTTATATAAAAAAAATAGCCTATAACTATCAACTACTTTTAGCTACAAAATGCATAAAATAACAAACCAGAAAACGTGTTATTTGTATTACAATTTGATTTTCCAAGTAGAAAAAACACTAAGACTATAATTCTATTGATTTTTCCAGAGACTTCTGCACTATTTAAGCAGTATGTGGCTGGCATTATGAACTCTGCTCCCATTGACTGAAATCTCATTGATGCTCTGACCGTTGTGGGACATTTTCGTCATAGAAAAGTACGTTACAAAACAACAAACACCTATCCCGATGTTTCAAGATAAAAAGTAAGGCCGTTACTACTAACCGGACAGCTTTTGATGATTCAAAGAAAAAGAAGAAAATTTAGCGCAAAATATCCAGTTTTGTTGTAGTGGCAGCTTTCAGGGCGCCTTAATTAAGTTGAACTCAGGACTCGGGGAGGCTGCGAAGACAGAAGTCACTTAAATTATGCACAAGGTACAGGACGGACGCAGGGGAAGTGCCGGCAAACTGAGTTCAGCTGGGACAGCAACAACAACCAATCGTATGTCAAGACGCTACAAATTCCAGCACACACATTGGACGAAAATATAAAAGAAATGAATAGAAGGATTGCTTACCCCTAAATAGACAAACCGAGGAAGCAATCAACCACTGGCATGCATGCCATCAAGTGAGGTCCTACTTGGCATATATAGTATGTAGCACGCTTTTGTGCGCAATGAGAAAAATACATAAAGCGAAAGTTGCTGAACTAAAGTCCACGCGCTTAGTCAGGCTAGACAGTTTTTTTGTTGTTGTTGTTGTTCTTGCTGTTTTTGTCGAACGCTCATTTTAAACGCTCTTTTATTTGCCATTTGCCGTGTTGGCGCAACATGTGACGACAATGACGGCGACGGCATAGCAAACAAAGCAAAGCAGAACGAGGCAAGCAAAACAAAACAATGCATACTTAAAGGCGCAACAGGCACGTTTAAGCGACCTGAACTTCATCATCACACTCGGCACTGTGCGAGAAAAATGAGCGTAAATATTTTTATCATTTTAGCCAAAAAGAAACCGCACGCCGAGAGCGCATTACATGTATTAGAAGAGAGCGAAAAAGTGAGAAGGTGAGAGAGAGCGCCAAAAAGTATGCTAAGCTTCGAAAATGCAAAATAAGTGTGTGGAGGGTTGTTTGTTGCGCACTTCTCGCATATGGCTCAATGTTGATTTGCTTGCTGGCTGCTTAGCAATGAAATGTTATTCTTTAGCCTTTTTTTACGCAAAAAGAAGTTGGGTAAGGCTGGAAGGCTGTGAAGCGGTTGGCCAGGCAACTACCACCACCCGGCTGCTACTACAATTGCACAAATATTGAGGTAGGCACAAGACATAAGACACAAGGCAAAGGCAATGAAGACCATAAGGAGTACATGATTATCTATTTGGTAGATAACTCGTTTGTGTCCCCTATTTTGGATGTTTCTGTGTGTGTGTGCGTGTGTGTGTCTGGCCTTCATTAACTTGGCGTTCAAAGTTCACGAAATGTTGAGATCAACCGGTTTTGTATCTGCAGTCCTGCAGTGCTGTCTTCGACTGGACCCGACTGGACCTTTTGCTGCTGGTCAGCAACAGCATCCTTCCGGAGACTCGACTCTTAGACTGGCCATTGATCGTTGAGTCCGTCAGTTGAGTTTGAACTTTCATTCGTTCGCGTCGTGTCTTTTTGCTTTTGTTTGTTGACCGAAATCCCATCGTTTGTTTTTGTTTGGGATTTCTGTTATACTAATTATATAATATTTATTGTTATTTAAATTATAATTTTTAACAACCAAATGTTTCTGTTGCGTTGAAATTTATGTTGAACACTGTGTTTTTTATTGAATTTAACCTGAATCTCATACAACAATATAAATTGTCGGTAGGTGAAAAAGTATTTAAGAGAAAATGTTGCTTAAGATGCAAAAACAAAAACTGTTAAAAAGTGGCTTTATAAAAGAAAAATGTTTGATAGAGATATATGGACGATATAAACTGAATAAAATAGCAAATAATAGAGCACTCGCTTTTTCGTGTAGTGATTTATTTGAAAATAAAAAGACACAGAAATGTTATAGTCAAACATATATAAAATATAAATAATTAATAAAAATTACCAATTAATTAAATGATAAAATGATTCCCTTTAAAACACGTACTATTTGTTATAAGAATATTTTGAGGAAAACACTCAACAATATCTCTAAATTATTCATGATTTTCAAATTTATTAAATAATAAAATGCCATTAAAACACATACTATTTGTTATAAGAATTGCTTGAGGAAAAGTTAAAAAATTAAAATAGGAACACTCATCAATTTCTCTAAATACTCGTCTTTAATGATTTTCCAATTAATTACAAATATTATTTGATATAAAAAATGTATTTTTTGTGAAAAGTGAAACATTTAAAGCAGGAACACTCAACAATATCCCTTTACACTTGTTTTTAAATTAATTATCCATCCTTTTTTACAAAAATTTCAAATCTATTATGAGATTGGTCTAAAGAAACTATACAATTCCTCGTCGGCTGGTATTTAAACAAAATAAAAAATAATTATGATATATTGAAACAGTCTACACTACCAAAAATATTTTTAAAATTGGTATAGTTATATTATTTATGTTATCCAACAAGTAGAGGCAGGTATCTAAACAAAGATTAGACTGTCGTTAGTTAGAATCGCAATTTCTCGATTTCAATTCAGTTTAATTATGGGATGTCTTATTCCGTCCGCAAGGAACTAATCTTTCTCTCAACTTACTCTCCCTATTCCAGAACTGTTTTCATCTCGCACTATATGAACAAAAATATGACTAAGCGTTACATCAAAGTTTCCCTCAATTAGAAATAAATATATTGTTGAAGCTGAGCCAATGCGTGTGTCAATCGTTTGGGCTTTGTTTTGATTGTGCATTGGTCGGAGCTTTTTTTAAGGTTGAAATTGTTGTTGAACGGTGAAAGGTTTGTTAAATTATCGCCACATGGAGCAGTCGAATGGCAATCGTAGATCGGACCAAGAGAAGGCTGACTTCCTGCAGCATCTGCAGTGCATTCAGTCGACGCCTACTCCAGAAACGCTCGTCAGTGGTGCTGAGGCTCTGCGCCAGAAGCGCAAGCTCTACGCCATTGAGGAGCGTGAGGAGAGTTCGCCGATGACTGTGAGCGAGGCGGAGACTCCCTTGGTGCCCGATGCGGCCTACGACGCTGATGTGGATGATTTTGTAGAGGCTCAGCAGCGACTAGAGGCACAGCCCGAGATTTGTCAGCGCACGTTGAACAAGTTGGTCAGCGAGCGGGAACAAATCTACGAGCTGTTTCAGCCCTGGGCGCTGAAGACCTACGGCGATCAGGCAAAGACCAAAACGATAACATTACGAAAGAAAGCGCGCATATTAAAGGCGCTGGAGGGCAAGGAGCACAGTCGACCAGATAGCTCCAAATTTCGGTTTTGGGTGAAGACGAAGGGTGAGTTATAAAGCAAATATACAATGCGAGCTGAAATCCTTAATGGAAACAATTGTGCTCGTAGGCTTCACCACAAAGCGCCCTGAAGGCTTTGAGGAGGCGCCCGGTAGTCGACGTAGGTTGCAGCCGCTGCCCGCAACTGCAATATTGTCGGACCATCCGGGCGCTGTAGATCTGTTTGCGGCCTCGGCGAGCAAAGACTTTGGCCGTCGCATTTATCGTAAGGTGGCGTGTGTGGAGGAGTTCTTCGACATCATCTACAATGTGCACATGGAGCTGGGCGGACGCAGTGGCATGCATGCGGGTCAGAAGCGAACCTATCGAATTGTGAGTGTAGCGTATGAACATCCAGTGTTGCTGTGCAGATACTTATTATATTTTAATAACTTCATCTCCATCTCCACCACTCTCCATAGATCACCGAAACGTATGCCTTTCTGCCTCGAGAGGCTGTCACGCGTTTTCTAACCATCTGCCCCGAGTGCAAGAAGAACTTGCGTCCCTCGTCGCCGGCCACAGCCAGCCAGGAGCTGGGCGGCAATGAGAGCTCCTCGGAAGTGGAGAATTTGAATTACTCCTCGCACACAGAGAGCTCCCTAGAAGCAGGTCCCACGGCCAAGCGACGTCGTCACTCGAGCGCCGAAGTCAAGGCACACACACCGCTGCCCACTGCATCGATCAGCAGCAGCAGCAGTGTCACCCAGCTGGATGCTGTGGCTCGTGCCGCCAGCCCCCTACCCACTGCTAGTGCCAGTCCCAAATCCCAATCAAATCCCAGTACCCATCCCGTCGAAACTACGCCGGTCAGTGTGCCAAAAATTCGTGTCAAAGCGCAGCTGCAACGTCCCTTCAGTCCAACAGCCAGCACAGGTGCCCCTTCACAGCCCTCTCAGCCCACACAGTTGACACCAGCTCCTCTGCTACCTCCGCATGGCTTTGACATGCAGCTCTTCAAGTCGCACGATAATCTGTTGCGCTACTATGACTTTATGCGCCGCTTCTATTCCGGCGGCAACTTGAATGTGTTGCTCAATCAACCGGTTTTAGCGCCGCCCTTATATGGCAGCAGCTTGCTACAGGGCCTCACTTTTCCCAACACCACAACCACGACAACCACCACCACCACCCCTTGCAATACTTCCACAGGCAACAACAACAACATTGCTCAGCCCAAACAGGCACCTCCCAAGGCAGCTTCCCCTGTCTTGTCCGCTATGCCGTCTTTGAAAACTTCCCCCGGCAGCACACAGCGCGCACACTCACCGGCCCCTTCGACGATCCTTTCCACCAATGCTAACGTCCCGCCATCCTCTACACATACACCGATAAATCTAACAAAAAATTTGTTTTCCAGCTCAAAGAATGGGACGCCTGTAGCGACAGCATCGACCGTCTTGCCCACCACCTCAACACCCTTGGCGGTCGGCCCGCTTAAGTTGGAGTTGCCGAGTCCGCCAAAACCGTTGCCAGAGTTGCGCATACCACAACCGCAGCGTAGTGCTGCCCCAGTGGAGTTGCCACCGCTGGACCTGGAACGCCTAAAGCCCATCACATCCACATACTTGCAGCTTACACGCAGCATGGGTCTCAGCGATGAGGATGCCTTGCGGTTTGATAACTTGGTGAGTAAAGATTTCAAATATTCACTATAGACCTACTCGTATATTAGGGGGTACAAAATACAAATTGCAGATGATAACTATAGGATAAAGTATTCCCGAAACATCTGCTGTATCTATGAAATATGAAAATTGAATCCAACTCAAACCATTTTTAAATTAAAAACCTTTTTCTCCCAATACGAATGATTTTAAATTAAAGTATTAATTTAAAGAGAAATTATTCCGAGTTTTTCAACGGCTTAACTTTTGATTTAAGTTCCACAAATTATTAGTAGTATAAGGTTTCACATATATTGAATTATTATCCATATTCTAACATACTTTTCTTGTTTTTTGTCTTAAAACAATTTGAGACAGACGTTAATGTTATTTGTAAGGCCCCTTTTTAACAAATATTTGGTTACTTCTCATTCCCTTTGGAAGCCAATTTATTTATTTGAAATTGGTAGCCCCTCACATTTCATTTGTTACTAAACTATTGGCGTTTGTGGAAACACTTTTTAGTGAGGCCCACAAACGAGCCCACATGCCTACTCGCAATTGCAATTTCTGTTTTTATTTGATAGAACTGTTTTATTAAATTTGTATGCCTTTTTATATTGGCGCTTTTGCAAAATTTATTAATAACTGAAAAATGCATTACGAGTTTTGTTTCATGTTTTCGCTAACAAAACGTAAGGAACAAAAATGCATATATATATATATATATTTATATGAAATTTGAATTTATTTTTAAAAATTTATAAACCACTCTTTGTGTTCGGCAAATGTTTTTTTGTGCGACGAGCGCGCAAATGCTTTTTAATTAGTTTAAACATGTCAGGAGTGATTTATTTTTTATTGACTCTCTTGTGCAGCAATCAACCTGCAATTTTTACCTATGCTATTTATTAAATATTTAAGTAATGATTTATATTATTAGATTACAGCACATACACTATACTATACATATCCATGCGTATTTCTACAACTACAACAATTTTTTACTAATTTAGTTTCTCTTTTCTCTGACATGCTTGGCTTATAAATGTAACGCATCTATCGCAATGTAAATGAGCTGCTCATCAATAAGCAACAACAACAGAAACCGCAACAACAACAACTACAACAACTTTTGGCCATTTCCTATGCACTTGCATCGAGCAAGGCACAAAATTATACAATAGTTTTCCACCAGAACGAATCTCACATTGAATTAAATTAATTTTACTTTAAATTATGATCTCTTTACGCTTTAGTCGCTGCAATTTTTTCGTTTCTGCTTTAATAGTGTTATTACCATGCTTAATGTTTAATTGGTTTTTTTTTCGTTTATAAGTTTATATAATTATTAGTTTTGTTGATTTTATTTTTGAATTTGTATTTTTCTTTTTTTTGCAGCTCAGTTATTAGCGCAAGCCAAACAAGTACATGTAATAAATTAGTTAAAAGCAAAGAAATCATGTTTTTTTGTATTCAAAATTCCTTTACACATCATTTAACTGACATTTCAAGCTATATTTATGGATGTGTGCGGAAATATTTTAAATAAATTAGTCTGCTTTTGAAATATAAAACCTAATAATGCGCTTAGTTGATTTGAATTTTATAAGCTCTTCATTACCTGCTTTGTAGTTTGCAATTTTTCCCAGATACTTGCAGCTATGGGTGAGTACTAAAATTATTATTAATATTTCTATATTATTGTTACGTCAATATTTTTTTAAAGTGTGGCATTTCTGCTGATCTAAGAGAAAAAGATTTAATTTGAGATCGACATAAGAGTGCACAAGGGGCCTCTAAGGGTCACCAAAACTGTTCACAATATGTTTGGATAATTATACTTGTATTATTAAATTCTTAATTAAATTATTTTGAATATCAAGTGAACTGCTTGACACTGCTTGTTTGAAAAGCGACAGCAAAAGATGCTTTGTTGTGCTTCCCTCTCATCTGCTGGAATTCAATTTATGGTTGCGTTAATAATACTTTTTTGGAGTAATGCGATCTTTTTTATTCCATAGCTGGCTGATATCATGATATCTCCCTTTTAAAACTTTTCTTTTGTTTCCCCTTACTTTCATGGAGAGAGGGAATAGCAAACTAACTTTGAAGCATTTGTTCGTGTTTTTTTGATCGAAAATATATATTTGACAAGCCTTCCTCACTATTGGAAAACGTTCGCTTAAAAAATTCTGTTGGAAACGAAGTTTCAAAATATCACACTTGATCCAGATATTTGTTATATTTTTAATAGTTTTTTTTATAGGTTGCCATATATAGTAAGTTACAACTAACGACAACAATTGAAACACATTTTTATTTATTAGACCGTCTTCTTTAATCAACTTTTATTTTCAAAAGTCAAAAGCAACAGATAAATGTTTTCAGAGCACTATAGTACTTGTAGTTTCCTTCACTTCTGGGGTGGGTTTCTCTGCAATTTCAGAGGCTCATCAGGCCCTTTAACATCGCTCAGCACAAATCTGACACTCAAAACGCGTCCATTATTGTCGACAATTGTTTTGATCAGCTCACCATTTTGTGCGATTATTTGTTCAGGCCTAAGACTTACTAGGGCTAGAAACTGATCAATGGGATTTCCAATATCTTCGATTGTGTGAACGGATCGCACTTCTTTGTGATTCGGATTGAGACTAGGGAGGGGCTCGGAGACGGGTCTCGCAATAGGTACCCCACTGCCTCCGTTGAAGCTTCCTAGAACACCATTATAGTTGATAGGAACCGTCCTCACCGTATAGGTGGTCTTGATGACGCGTCCGTCGGGCTCTACGCGTTCGCGGACCACACTCTGACCATTCGAATTTTGTATATCCTCGTCGGTGATGCCAGCGCGTGTAAGGACGCCCTGTAGTTGTGGGTCCAGATCTGCTTTTGATGGTACACCTGCGCTCGTGTAGGTACTGCTGATGCTCGTGACCTTAGTTTGTGTATTGTCCGCGCTGTCGAGGGGCTTAATGGAGTCAGTTAAGCCGTTCAGCCAGTCGTTGTCGATGGGCTGCTTGGGAGGCAGCTTAATATAAGTGGTGCGAACGGGCAGGTCATCTATGTTGATGGTGGCCAAGGGTTTTGCGGTGGTGGACGTGGTTGTGAAGTAATTTGGCTGTTGCTTAAGGAACTCTTCCAACGAGGGCAATGGGGTTGTGGTTATCATGCCCAGTGGTGGTCTCTCATCACCTGCATCGTCCGGCTGGTCAACTGGGCTTGGCTGCGGGGCAGATTGAGGAGGAGATGTTGGTATAGGTGGTCTGGCAGGCGTCGGCAAAGGTACTAAGCTCGGTCTGGTTGGACTTGGTATGGGTCTTCGATCCTCATTACCAAACAAAGTAGGTCTGTTAGGCAGCGTGGGCTCCACATCATCAAAGGTGTGCGATCTAGGGAACCAGCTGCTTGGCAAGGGTCCTTTATAAATCTTTGTTGTTGTGGTCACAGTGCGGCCCTGATCATCCACCTCCGTTTTGGTGGTCGTTTTTGGCGTTACACCCTCGGGTAGATTATCAAAAATGCTGGGCCTGTTGGGCTGTGGCAAAAGACTGGGTATTTGGGGAGCTCCACTATCGAAAAGACTTGGTCTGGCATGCCAATCGACGGGTATGCCGCCTTTGTATTCCTTGGTAGTAGTTGTTACAGTGCGCCCTTGGTCGTCCACTTCAGTTTTGGTGCTCGTTTTTGGCGTCACACCCTCGGGTAGATTATGAAAAATGCTAGGCCTATTTGGCTGTGGCACAAGACTGGGTATCTGAGGAGCTCCATTGGCATGCCAGTCGACGGGTATGCCGCCTTTGTATTCCTTAGTAGTAGTTGTTACAGTACGTCCTTGGTCGTCCACTTCGGTTTTGGTTGAGGTTTGCGGCGTTACGCCGGCAGGGAAGCCAAAGTTGGGGTTTACGTTCCAGAAAGTGTTATGCCAGCTAGGCAGCTGACCAAAGCTTGTGCGTATGGTGGTGCCAGTGTTAGTGAAGCTCGGCTGCTGGTTGCTGATGAAAGAAGGCCAGTTCGCTCCAATATTGGAACCAAAACCGCCCCCAAAGCTGAAAGTTGGCCTTATGCCTGTCATAAGGGGTCGCGTCATGGGACGCACATTTGGCGCCCATTCCCAATCACTTTCGGGACCGGAAGCAGCCGAAGAGGGCGCAGGCGCCGCCATCAATCTTTCACTCGTCTTGCGGACTGGAACTGGCTCAGAGCCTCCAATGGTTTCACTCTCAATAGACTTTCCATCGGGCGCCAATCTGTAAGCCGTCGTTGTTGTCTGCCCCTCATAATTCGTTTTGCTTATTATAACCGGCACCTTGGAGCGCACCATCTCGTTCAAGACCTCGACATCTAAGCCGAATTCAGTCGCCTGCTTGATAAGCGATTCTGATGGGCCTGCTTCGTCGATATTCGAGGCGGATGCTTCGCTATTGCTGTGCACTTCATTCATCTGTAAATCGTTGGCATTATGATGATCTCATCAGATCTCGGGGATAGAAATTCGGCTGGACCTACCTGCAGCAGCAACAGCATGCCAACTAGGCAGCTTAATAACAATTTGTATCGCCTCATTTAGACACGTTCTTAGACCCACTTGTTTTCGCTTCAGCTATTCGATTTGAACTGAGCTTGGCCTCAGAGCATGCATTGCGTTGAAGCTTTTAATTTGCACAGATAAGAAATGTCTGTGTTTACGTCGAATACGTATTCAAGCGATGGGTTATCGCGCAATCATCGGGGAAACGAACAAAAACCGTTTGAATCAAACAATCAGGTGAAACAAATACTCTACACTCAGACTCAGAATAGAGAGAGTGAGAAATGAATGAATGGATTACCTAAGAGCTTATTAAAAATATTACAAAAAACAGTCTTAAGGTCGGGCAAATTATTTTATTTAAGCTCAAACCAATCCCAATTCCATATCAGCTATAAATTTGCGCTGCTACAAAAAATCGTTTTGTTTTTTTCATTCAAAATATTTGTTTGTCTGCCCGCAGCCCAACAACAGAAATTCTTAGAAGCTTAATCTGTTTTATTTTTTTTGTTAATACACTTTTGATTGCGTAAGTTTTGTTCAAAAATAAACAATATTTTAACAACAAAAGCTTATTATAAGCTTATGATGTATGCAATTAAAAAGGTATTCTATAAATTTTTCAATTGTGGCCTATAGATTACAGATTTGTAAAATAGAAAAGTTGATAGCAATGCAGTCATAAAACTATACTAGATGTGAGCAAAAGGGGAAATTCCTCTCATATACATATTTTTTCTTTTTCCTCTAAATGGAAACTCATTACATCACTGCATCTAGTATGAATACCAAGAACTAGAAAAGCGTCAATAGACTTTGCCTTCTTTCTGTAACTATTTTATTAAGCTTCTTTCAAAACAATACAAATAAACCGGTTGGTCCGGAATCGACTGAGTCATCAGTTCATAGTATAAGCACATGTAGTTGAACAAGCTTGAGTTTATTTGTTTTTTTGTTTTGTTTTTAACAATTCTTTCTCCGAGTCTATGCTGAAATAATATAACCATGACCTTGATCATGAGCTAAGTACAAACTAACAACGACAAACATTTATAAAAACAGCTAAAATTGAGTCATCATTTAATTTAAATTAAATCAAAAGTGACGCATTTACATTTTCCTGACTGCAGATTATTTGTAGAACATTTTATGAATTGACGAAGATAAGAATGAAGAGTAAATGATTGTTTCATAGAAGCAGGGAATCATTAATGGTAGGGAATCATAAAAGTCTCGGGTATTTATGAATATATTTAAATTTATTATATTAAATTAAAAATTTTGTTCTTCGGTCTTATTAACGAACTTATTGCAGATCATTTTATAAAACCGAATCAATCCATGACAAGATGAGAACGAAGAATAAATGATATAGTTTCATAGAAACAGGGATTTATTAATGGTAGGGAAGGGGAATGTGAACTTGTGCATTTATAAATTTTTGCTTGATGTACTTGTATATAATAAAAGCTCCCATTTAAAAATTGGTTTAATTTATCAAATGTAAAAACTTATTTGCTCCTTTTTTGTTAAAAAAGTTGCAATTATTTGGGATATATTTCAATTTAATATGAAATTAACAATTTTGTTCATCTGCCTCCTTTCTTAACAAAAATTTCACATAACAAATAACAAGAAAACTTGTATTGCTTAGAGCCTAAGGAGAATACTATATGTATATCAGGTATAGCTAGGTATATTTTTCAGGATGTTTGTGTTCATTGAGACCAACAGGCAGGCAGACAGGTATATTATAAATTTATCTGCAGTAATCTAAACTCTACTAGACAATTTTGAAATATAGGTAGTGTGTCTCATTAATAATGTAATTATTTTTCATTCATTTCATCAGCATCGATATTAAGTCTAATGATGAGTTGAATTTTGTTTCAATGCTCTTCAAATTTTCGTCGACATGCTGTTGACACATTCATATTGCTGTGAAAAGAACTGCAGATAAATAGAGCGTAGTCTAGAATATCAGCGGGGGAGGGGAAAAGAGTAATAAATTCTCTGGCGTATTTTGGCCAAACAGAACAAAAAAGGCAATGATTGAGCAATGCATGCAGCAGTCAAAGCCAAAATGAAAGAAAAACAAAAATGAAAATAAAATGGCGCTACTATGTAGGTAAACATATAAAAAAAGTATATATATATATATATATATATATGATATAGATGTCTATTTGTATAAAAAGAGAACTTTATGATGAGCGAGGAGAGACCGAAATAAATAAAAATGTATAAAAGTTTCGAATGCGTGTTTGAGGGCTGGACGGTGTGCATTGTGGGGCAGAGTAACGAAAAGGACAAAAGGGATATTGAAGATGCTGCCTTATGATAGGGGGTTATGGCTGAGGGCCCGCACTCTCTCCACTCACACACACACAAACACACACACACACTAACACACAAGCAGCCAAAAGGGTGCTCCTAAAACACAAAGCGTTGGGCTAGAGGACGGGTACTGGTCGCCTGGCTCAGTGGATATACCGGATTTACGCTAAAAAGACGCCATAAACTTTTGAATGCCGCAGAAAAAAAGGGACCGAAATTGGAATTTGATAGACGCGTTCATGGAGCCGTTGCTTGGACTTGGGTTTCAGCAGCAGTAGCAGTAGCATCGGCAGCGGCATCGACATCGGCCTCGGCTTCTGGGCTTGGGCCACTGACAAAGTTCAGAGGCCAAAGCCTTTGCAGGGCACGTTGAGGATGTGGCATGGCAAGGTGTAGAGCGTGGTCGTGGCGCGGTGTGGGTGCGGACCGAGCAGAAATATTGACGACTTTTTAAAAGGGTCATGCGACGTTGCCAACGCTGTCAAGAGAAGACGTGGCGGATGGAGGGGGTGGAGGGCTGAGTGGACGGTTCCAGGGTGCTGCGTGTGGCGCGTGCAATAAACCAAACGATTTTAACGCTTTAGAGGTGGACTGGCGACTGGGTGGGTGTATTGGGGTGCATGGGTATATGGGTATATGGGTGTATAGGTTTATGGGGAAGGGCCGGAGCTCTCTGGCTGTTATAAAACTTTACAGTTAACTAGGCTTGGCAATCAAGCTAAAAGCAAAGGCGTCGCGTCTGACCCGTTCGCTGGCGCCACCTAGCGACCAAGCAACCCAGTCGCATGCACTACGAAAATAAAAATAAGATCTTTTAAAATATATATTCATATCGACGAGCGCATGCCCTGCAAGCGTCAATTAAAAATCAATAAATAGATTTTCTGAAGATTTCTTAACTCAAAAGCGAAAAAATATAATTATTATTTAAATATTTTCCATTCGTTCTTGATCTTTAAAGCTTGAGTTTGATTCATACTTTATGCAGTTTCTTTTTTCCTGAGTGTATGTTTTGTTTACAAATATCGAAAATATTGGAAAAATTACAAACGGCCGTTTCATAACCTAGGAACTCTATGTAGGGTATCATAAAGAGGCCAACGCAATTCAACAAAAGGCAGACGTGGGTATCGTTGACATCGTGGAAATGGCAACGGTAGCCGGCGCAGGCACCTCTAAGCCTGCCCGCACTCACCTGCGAAAGGACGCGATGTCTCGTCGACGAGGACACCTGGCTATGACTGGAGTTGAACACCCACTTGTGTGTGTGTGTGTGTGTTGGCAAGTGTGGGTGCGAAACTGTTTGGTCAGGCAGCTAGGAATGTCAGTGAGTGAGTCACAATGTTGCCTCGCGCCCGGACTCCCTCAAGGGTTTGGCTTACCAAAGCGTCCATGCTAGCCTGCTTGTTGTTTTGGAGCGTTCCCTTTTTAACCCATTGCTCTTTGTTGGTCCTGCTGCCTTTCCTCCTGTCATTGGGCATTGTCTTCTGGGGGTCTTGTTATAAGTGGACATTGTACTAGCAGCTGTCTGTGCGGCAGCTGTTCTGCCATCACATGACCGGTAAGACGAGCCAAATGTTATATGGCACTGGGAGCGGCATAGCTAAGCAAGATGGCAACAACAACAACTTTAAAGTAACAGCCATTCAATAGTTTAGGATTTTCTTTTTTTTTAATATAGATATGCTTCTTTTACTCTATTAATATCTCCTCATATTATGCTTCATATGAAAATTTAGTATATAGTATATACGAATTTTAATAATCATTGCATCATGGAGTTTCTCTAGACTTTCTAATCTGTATGAACAGACCGTTTGCCTATTCTTTGGAATGTATCGATTGCACGTATCAGGAAGCAATAAACTTGTTATACAAGTTTTTCGAAATATATTTACGTGGAAGCTATAAAATATTTATATTTTTTATCCCCTTTACTGGAAAGTTTATCGTTAACTTGACCTTGACTTTTAAGAAGTACTACGTGTATATGCTTCTGTTTTTTGAAATACAAAGTACATCGTACCGCCCCATTTGTAGATAAAGTTTTACAATTAAATAAAATCGTACTTCCTCACACTTTGAGGAATTTAACTTAAGAGTATTAGGCGCCTGTAAAATCAATTCTTAATCAGATAAATCAGATGTTCGGCGATTCATAATGTCTCATTATTATTGCATTACTAGCATGTTCCTCACTCTGTTAAAGTGGGACTCCTCCTCCTCCTCCTCAAGTACATTATTCATTCATTAATTGAATTAATCACAAATGGATTGTAAGGAAATCAAAAGCAGTCAAGCATTTAAGATTGGAAATACACCAAAAATTTTGAAGAATGTCCAACCCGATGTGACAGGCTTCGGACCCAAGCCATCACCCCCCAAATACCACGGCCCCATGACAACGTAAAATTCTCACACAACTCACCAACGAAAGCATAAAAAAGAAGTAATTAAAACGCAAGCCTGTGCACAAAAGGCAAAATAAGTAATTGCCACCTTGTTTTGCAACTTTCGAGCTCATCAACAAATAAAAATTGTTTAAGAATGGGCAAGAAATGTGGAAAAACCCAGAAGGGGAAGATGCTGAGAAAACTGTGTGCACGCAGAACCAAATTGACAAATTAAAAGCGAGTGAAAATTTTCAGAAAAACCAAATAGAAAAAGGGAGACAACTGAAAAGGAAACAAGCCAGCGCACAATTAAGCAAGGGGATTGCGAGGAACTCAACAGAAA